ATATATAATTAACAGAACTGTAGTAGGGTGATGGCATCTCCATCTTACAGAGAAGAAACCAACTACTTACAAACCAGAGGATTCTTTCGACAATCATGGCATTGCCATGTCAGTGCAAGGCATTTTGGGCCTTACTTCTCAGAGGACTTTGCATTTTTACAGCATTTTATATATTCAAAGCACACTTGTGTTCATTCCAAATGCAGCTGTGCTCCGATCCCAGGTACCTTGGCTTGAGTGCCACAGCAACTAGAAACACAGAGTTCACCTCCAAAATAAGTGACCTTCCAGATCCACATAAAAACTCCTTGAAAGAGAGAGAATAAAACCAAGTCTTTCAGCGGAGCCTTCAAATGCCTTAGAGAGAGCGCTTTTGATTCCTGCAGCCCTCTACTTAAATTACCACGGTTTTCAGCAATTAAGGCAAAGGTTCTGGAGACAACAGCTTCCTTTAACAAACACCCCTGACTCATTCTCCGGGCACCATTCCTCCTGTGAAAAAATTATGTGATCACATAATTAAAGATCTTATCGTTATGCATACATGCAAGGGACAAATTAAAACAGTTTGAGCAATCTTCATTCTGACATTTTCCAACTTATTTTGAATGCTCGACTTCGAAATCAAACACTTGACTTTGAAAGAAGGTATTAATATTCTTTAATAGAACAATGGTTGAAAAACAATCAAACCTTATAATTTACTGTATTTTTAGCTAATTAAAATTAAAATCCCATTACATGGTGCCATAATGATGCCTGCATTGGGTGCAAAGCTTAGCTTTAGCAATGCAGATCTGCTCCTGGTGCCCTACGAGACTAAGGGATGGCAGTAGCAGCCTGCTGTCTCCATTTGCTTCAGACATGTTTTGGCAACATCTTTCACAGCTCTCTGAAGACATTAAAACCCCCTAGAACTACAGCACCCAGCATCCAACTCCAGGGGTAACCGTCCTCCCCCTCTCCCTTCTCCAGTTCTCTCCTAGAGCCAAATTTAGACCCTCCCTATCTGCACATCATTTTGGGTGTTTTCTCCTCTCGTCCTTGATGTTTCCTGAGAATAGCCACCACTGAAAGAAGAGGACAACAAGCTCACGAGCCTCGCTTGATGCCTGGCATCACAGTAACTGATGAAGTTGGGAGGAATTTAATTATATCTTTTTGGATAGAGATGGAAATATACTCAATACAAAAGCAATATGTAAAGACTACCGCTTACAACCTCTGAAAGAAATTCAATTGAATATACACAAATGATGACTTCAAGGGGCTTCTAATTTGGCCAAACATTCCATGCAGAAACCAAAAACCACATGTAAAACCTCACTTAGAGGAACAGTTCGAGCTCTCCAATGAAGTAACTACAAATATTTCAAACTTCAGTAATATTTACTTTTAGTTAATGTCATTTAAAAGTAGTGACTACCCTAAACAAAATAATTCAGCCTGGATCACAGAGAACTGGCACAAACAGCAATCACTGTCTGCAGGATGAGACACCGTGCCGTGAGAAGCGAGGATGGCTGGCGAGGTGACATCGCCCTCGGCCACCATGGCCCCAGGGACAGCCATCGGCAGCAGGGGATAAGCAGCAGGCCACTGCAGGGAATCTTGCCTTCAATTATAAAAGCTCAGTTTGACTCAGACCATGAACCATGGCTGTAAGCCTCCAAAAAACAGGTCACCAGACAAGCACATACCAGGTATAACAGACATACGGGCCTATTCTGTCCACCGTATAGTATGTAACCTTAGCATAAAAAGTACATTATTATATTAAACAGTTTCATTACTAATTTCAGCTTTACTTTCACAGATCAATGGAAAAGAAGGCCCCTTTTTCAACATCTGTATTACAAATGACACTGAAGACTAAATATTTATTCAATAAATATACTTTTTATATCATTACTATATATCTTCTGAATTAAAGATGAAATATTCATTAAAAAACAATACATGAAAAATACATCTTATGAACCATAATTACTTCTTTTCTTGTTGATCACTTTCTTGCCACAGTATCTTGATTTTTAAAGAATAAATGAGTATCTCTAGTTGGAAGCTTTCATTGCTCTGAGGGTAGATGACTGTAAAATGAATTGCAGAAAATAAGCTTTGCTTTCTGGATTTTTACAGTCCTAAAGGCAGAGAAGATGTATGATATTGCACAATTCTAATTAAAAAAGAAATATGCTCAAATGGAATTAGCGATTAAAGAGCTAAAACAGAGAAATACATTATTTTGCTGGTTGAATACAGCTAGGAAACCATGATACACGTCTAGTCATATTCAAACATGCTATTTAAAAGGAAAAGAATCTTGAGTTCTCTGATTTAAAACCAATGAACCCAGGAAATTCAAGGTGAACACTAATACTGCGGTGATGAAAGACTATAGGACTCTCTGTTTCCATAACATATACTATAATCGGAGAGTCCCCAAAGAGGGGAGTGACCCGGGCAGCAACAGAAGGAAAGCTTCTCACAAAGCTGGCAGCAGGTACCCGCTCACCGCTCCCCCACCCAGATCTGCCCTCAGAATCGTCAGATGACATGAAAGATGACATTCCCAACAGGAAGAATGACCCAATCAAGTTCATATCACTCAAATTCTGATAGGAATTTACTCATTTCAACAACAAAGAGAAAGTATGCGGTGGAGTATGTATTGGAATAATTTGAGTTCAGCTGGCAACACCCCAGAACTGCACTAAAAAGAGGACAGGCTTCAACCAAACTAATCCATAATCTCTAATATGTATTACCAAGATTTGGAAGCGTACAGAGGGAAGGATGCTTTGAACCTGACCTGTTACAACCTTTTCTTCAATACTTGCCAGTGGTCACTGTCTTTTACGTAGAGTCTGGTCCAACATTCTTACTACCTGTCTCTTTGATACTGTTCCATACTTTAGCCAAAATTCTACCTACTCCCACTGGAAAAAAAACAAAACAACCACCCTTTTAGGAATTTGTGAGTTAACACAAACACCTTTGAATTTTTTAATATATTGGACACATGTAACCAACACATTTGAGCTGTGTGGGTTCAGTATCTCAACACTGAAAAGGCTGGCAATCTAGAACAGGTGTGACAGATTCTGATCTTTTAGAAATCCTACTCCTAAAAGCTCTTCCAAGTTCTAATAAAAAAAATTTGAAAGCTTATTCATGAATACTGTTAGAAAAGAAACCTCTGATTCTACAAAATTGGAACAACTCCTGTGTTCTATGAAGTGCATTCCTGGTTCCTGCATTTCTGCTCTGACAGTCTGCAATCAGCTCTTGGAAACCATTTACTTTCTGTCAGCCCAACTGAAAATCTGCACCTATACATTATTCTGCTCTAGTCTTAATATTTAAGCAAAATATATTGCAAAGGCAGAAACCTGATAATTTAGCATGCAGTATTTTGTGTTTAGATTTTGGGATATTCTATTAATTTTATTACTACTCCTGAATGAAATGTCATACTTGTGCTTCTCCAGTGATTAGCTGCCCAGTATCTTTAGTAGAAGTTAGACCTTTATGTTCTTTTCACATTTTTCCTCTCAATTTAATACATACATTTGAAATTAATAAGTAACTTCCACACAATAATACATACAGAACCATGTTACCATCTGAAGTAGAAACATAGGGAAGAGCTTAAGAAAAGAGAGGGCATGTGTTGATGCTTCTCCTGAAATTCTCCGCCTGTTCCTAGCTCCTGGAATTCCTAAATGAGACGTGTGGTCATCATACCAATAGTCTCATTTTCTGTGAATTTGTCTGGTTACTTTTCGAATTCACGAAAAAGTGTCCCCTACATCCTCCCCACCTGTGACCTCTCGGCTGTGCATGATTTCATACGCTTCACTGCGCAGCCCTCCCTTCCAACATGAGAAGTCCTCATCCACTTGTTACTCACGCAGAAGTTGTTCCATTGATCATTTTTGCTGCACCTCTATGGACCACCTCCTGCTCTGCTGCATCACTGTGTTTACTGGGGGAGAGATGCCAAACCAGAACTACACAGAGTATTCAGAATGCACAACACATCACGGATCAGAACAGCAGCATAACCACGTGCTGTTTTCTTCTCTATCCCTTTTCTAATAAAGCAAATCATATTCTAAGACTTATCTTGACCACTACAAGTAATTAAACTGACACCACTACAGGTTTATTTTCTGTAACCTAGAAGTGCTGTTCCTGAATGGTAACAATCAGCTCAGAACCCATCATGGGACCCTGCTCCTCCCTCCACATGTTGCTTTATTTTTATCTACCTAGAGTTTTATCTGCCTTACTACTGCTTAGCTATTTGGAAACACCGTCATTGTTTCCCGAACAAGTACAAGCAACCCTTAGTGAAAATATTTGCTGCTTCCCAGCCATGTCACGGCCTCCATCAGGCAGCAGGATGACTTCCCGTAGTACGACAGCCAGCAGCTCTGCATAGCACAGTGGAGGCAGCAGAACACATTACGTTAGGCAGCATGTTGAACTCCGTAAAAATACACTACAATGAGATCTTGTTATATGGAAAGTGTGAGGAAACTGTATTACAGTCTTAATTAAATCATTCAAGAAAAAAAAAAGAGAACAAAACCCTGCCAGAGATTAGTTTCTGAAATAATCCATTATAAATTTAATTTAAAAACTTACTTGTAGTTTTCAGAAAAGTAATTCTGCTTTTAAGAACAGTATACATGCTATAACTGTGGAGAATAGAACTATATTTTACATATAAAAGGTTGACTCACTGTTTATTTAGATATATATACATGGCTGTGTCATACAGGAAAAGGGGAACTGGATTCAGTCCTTCCTCTGCCTGAAGGGATCAGACTTACATCTCCCACGTGTTTATATAAATATATGAATAGCTGTAAAAATGTTAGTCTAAATATTTACATGTATCAAGCACATTTCTGATAATTTTTTTAACTAATAAAAATCTCTTTCAAAATATTTTTACACCTCTTAACTGAATACTAATGTCCAGTCAAATGCAGCCTGACACACATATTGATTGACTATTCCAACACAATAAAAACCATAAAATTCAAGAATCTTAGTACTTAAAATAAGTGCTTTGCAAGTGGACTGCATACTAAAATGTGCTCTCAACACTGTACCAAAAGTGAGACTGAATGTTTAGCTTGCCTTACACAACACACATTGAAATCAATGGTGTAAATACGATTTTTCTGCTCGTCAATTTTAAATCATGGTATTAAAATTAAGCAGTACTTGACATTAAAAACAAACTGACCCTCAGTGTTGAATTTCTCTATTGGTAAGACAAAGTCTGGAACAAAGCCTGATGATCTAAGTCAGGACCAGTTCCCCAGCATTAGGGTAATGGCTACAGCTCTGGCACTAGACTCTGAGATGACATAAGTGATACCTGCAGCAAATCTGGCAAATATTCCAGCCTCAGTGATTAGATACTTTGCTGCTTGCTTTTGTTCATCTGATCATTAGTTTGCTTTAGGGTTAACTTAGTCCCATATGCATAATTATATTGGAACAGGACGGTGCGGTAGTGTACTATTTAGAAACCCAGAAGCAGAAGCAGCTCCAGGTTTCCCAGTGGGGCAGACAAAGGTGAACAAAGGCAGACAGCAGAGAGCAGCTGGGGAATCTGCTGCTTTGGCTGCTCCCAGCAGGCAGCTGCTTTAGCCAGCTACCTGCTTTGCCTATGACTGAGTTCTGGGCAGAAGAATGTATGTATTCCTTTCATCCCTCTCAAACTACTCAAACTACGTACCTGAGACATTAGATTTTACTTCTGTACCATTTCTGGGATGCTGAGCCCAACACCATGTCAGGAGAGGGATCCAAAAAGAAGTCCCACTGATTGTAAAGGATTTGTAAGAGCCATGGGTTCTGACAGCAAGGACAGTGAGCTCGTACCCACACCAGCAGGCAGCGTGGTGGAAGACAAACAGAAATATATGGTGAAACTGATTGCATTGAGGACCTAATGCTCACATGCTGTCTTTCAGAGCAATCTCTTAATAAAACTCTCTCTAGCCTGGTCTTCTGGAGTACATTTTCATTAATGGCTGCAACACGCTTAAGAGTGCTACCAGAGCCTATCTTCTCAGTTCATATGAAGAAAAGCCATGTTCCCTAGTCAAAGCACAGTGAATGAAGATAATCAGGAAGCTCACTTCAAAAACACCATCCTGATCCGAATTAAGGCACTGAAGTATGCACACCTGTAGCCAAACACCTGTGATAGGGACATGCACTTCTGGCATGCAGAGCGTGTCTGCAGTATGCAGTACGTATAGCCCAGTAAAAGAGAGACCACCACTACCTCCTCCCTTTGGGTTGTTTCTTGAATGAAAACCTTCCACACTTTGGAAATATCTTAAGATCATAGGCATGGTTGTGCCCATCCGCAGTTCCGATAGCCAAGTATCGCCTAGTAAGATGACCTGACCACAGCAACCATCTGTGTTTAGGTAACTCCTGAGACTGCAGATGACAAGCTCAAATGAGGACATTGGTTTCACACTTACTAGAAAGGATCACCAAAACTGCACAGGCAGACC